AAAAAAAAAAAAAAAGTTATTAGTTAGTTTAAGTATTTGAAAGTTTCGAATTGTCTAAACATTTAATTAACGAAGTTTTGTATATAACTTTTCTTATATAAAATATTATATATTTAAAAATGTCAACACATTAAATAATGGTTGAACCAAGTTCAATCACTGGTCGGTTAAGTGAACCATTGAACCAGTAGTTTGACTGGTTCGATGACCGGTACTATTTATTCAAATCAACTTAAGTTGAAAATGTTTTCTGTGAAAGAACGGATTAGTCTGTAGACAGATAATATTTTTTGAATGTTGCTTTCTCCCTTTTTTTGTGTGGCGTTAACTTATTTTTTGAATTAATTTCAGACATATATATATATATAGTTATAAATTGAAAACCATGATCAAGGGCAATACTTGATACATTTGGTCCGGTGAGCCAGTGACTAACAAATGGTTACATTTTTCTTTCACACTTTCTTACAATTTTCAGGACCACTTTATATTTTGTAGTCAATAAAAAATGTCACCTTTAAAAAATGATAAAATATATAAAGAAAAAGTAAGATAATTTAGTGTAGTAGGTAGTAATAATTAAGTAGGGTTAATTGCATAAAAAATCTCAATCTTTTGGTTATTGTTTAATTGCGAATAAAACTTAAGCCGGTGAACCGTCAAGCCGGTGAACCGGCGGTAATAAGGGCCGTACTGGCCCGTGAACCGTCAATAAGTAGGTAGTAATAATTAAGTAGGTAATAAGGGCCGTACTGGCCCGGTAATAAGTAGGTAGTAATAATTAAGTAGGGCCAAATTTATTGTTTTTCTTAAGGGCCGTACTGGCCCGTGAACCGTCAAGCCGGTGAACCGGCGGTTCAGGCCGGTTCTATGAACCGGCCCTTGGTTCTTAGCGGGCCGGTCGCGGTCCGTGTGTTGGAGGGCCCGTGGCCCGCCGGGCCGGGCCGGGTCTTGGCCCCGCACCTGGTCACGTCTCGGCAAGGCACGCTGACATAGCTGATCGAAAAATTAACATGGCACTCAGCATTTTAATATCAGTGCCACGTCATCATACACATCAATTTAATAAAAAGTAAAAAAAAAAAAAATTCACAATATGTTTTATAAGATAGATTTATCACGAAGTTTTTTCCAAAAGAAAAAAGAAGTATTCAAACATTAACTTGTAATTCTTACACGCATAAAATCAATTATTCCAAAAAGATGATTAGATTAAAACTTAAGAGTATGTTTGTTTATAAAAATTTTCAAAAAATTTCTAACACTTTAACTCAACTACTTTTTTTAACTCAATTTTAACTCAACACCACTATCTTCAATATAATTAAATAATATCAATCAATCATTCATCCACACCACATCAACTTTAATTCACTATTCATCTACTCACATAATTTTAACTAACCATCATATCACATCTTCTCTCTCCTACTTTTACATAATTTTAATTTTAATCATTTTATTTTAAATATTATTTTAATAAATCCACTAACAACTAACTATACCACCTTTTCAAAATTAACCAAATCAAACCAAAAAATCCAAACAAACTCAAAAAATTTCATAAACAAACATGCTCTAAATGTTTAACTTCAGTTTTTAATTACTTGGCCATACAGGTGTAATAGGCCTATGAAAAAGCAAATGGGCTACTATTTAGTCTGACTTCATTTTTTATATAAAATTATTACTGGGAGATGCTACGGTCCTGTGACGAGATTATTTTGTCAGAATTTGTAACCGTTAGATCAATTATCTCCAAAGGGTATTGAATAATATAACGGTTATAAACCCGACGGAATGGTTCCGTAACGGGACTATCGTAGTATTTCCCAAAATTACTTAAAGTATTTCAAAAGTTCACGGGAGCTAGAGCCCAAGTTTGCATCAGTGTGCTTCCGCTCCTGGGTACACGATAGTCCAATACTTTGGATCAAAACAAATCTGCCCAACTAAACCAAAAAGTACAAGAAGAAAATGAAAAATGATAGTTTTGGTGGCGGGCGGGCCTGCTATAAAAATTGATAAAATTATATATATATATATATATATATATATATAGAATTATATATGTTAAGACAGTGAATAAAAAATGTCACCTTTAAAAAATGATAAAAAAAATACAAAGAAAAAGAAGGCACTCGATGTAATGATCAAGTATGGCCACATTTTTCAATATAACCAAAAGTAAAAGAGGAAAATGAGAAAGGGTAGTTTGGGTAGCGGCCGCGGGCCTGCCTATAAATACTACTATTACTACTCCATCTTCAGCTGCATATATATAACCACATTTTTCTATATATTCTGTTTTTTTGAATCCATTTGTTGTTGTGAAGAAGATGAGTGGGAAGAGGATGATGAGTAGTGGTGCCACAACCACAACCACAACCACAGCCACGCACACGCTTACGCTCCTGTTGATGATGATGATTTTTCAGTTTCAGTTGGGTCACGGCATCTGGGTTCCAACTCCGACGACGTACACTGTGGGGGACAACAAAGGGTGGAGCACTGGTGTAACAAGCTGGACCGATCGCAAGACTTTTTATGTTGGTGACACCCTTGGTAAGATGACAAATAAATATTTAAAAAAATATAAGTCATCTACATTTTTTCATTACCATATAATTCATATATCTAAAAATATAACTAGTTCAATTTATTTAAATACCAACGATAATAAACCAACCTAAAGTTCGCTTCATATTATAAAGACAGTGTAGGTTAGTATTTGCAACATATATATACATATATAGGATGCACACTTCTATGTATATATAATATATATATATATATACACATCAAATTTATGTATATCAAGTGAAGCGACACATCACCTCACGGTTCCAATTATTTCAAATCTAATAAAACTAAGTTTTAATTTTTATACACTGAAATATACAACACTATAAAATAAAACAATAATATTGATGATGATGATGTTAAAATTATATAGCTAGCAATATTGAATTTTATAAAATTGATGCTATGTTTTGTGTGATGTATCTTCACTAATTTACGTTTATATATTGGTGAGAATATTTCTCTCCAATTATATATAAGGGATAATATTTTTGTTTTTCAGTAATCTAGTGCTTTGATTGGCTAAATAAATAAATAAATTTAAGGCTACGGTTTTCAAATTCTTAAAGTATGAACAACATAAGTGCATACTTCACTAATAAAAAACTCTTACATTCCAACGGAAATTTTTCTTTGAATTCTCTATATTTTCCGTTGTAATAGCTATTCCAACAGATATTCCTACGTATAAAAATTCGTGGGAAAAACGGCCGTTGGAATAGCTAAAATCCAACGGAAAACCTTATGGATATAAATTTCTACAACTATCCCAACGGAAAAAAGCCGTTGAAATTCTTCAATCATGCAACACTTATACCAACATAAAATTCAGTTTGTTTGAATATTCATTAGAATTTCCAACGGAAATTTTTACCGTTTGAATATTTCGTTGGAATTGAAGTGTTTTTCTTGTAGTGCTTGGATAT